TTTTTTTGGTTGCAGCCATCATTGTTGTTTGGCGGGCCCGGGCTGGGGATTCGAACCCGCCACCTTAGGTGCATGTGGCTGGCGCCTCAGCCGCTTGAGCCACAGGCGCCGAGCCAACGCTGGCTATTTTTAAGAGACAGGGTCTTGCTTTTGCTCAGGCTGGTCTCCAGCCTGTGAGCAATCCACTCACCTCAGCCTCCCATGTACTGGGATTACAGGTGTCAGCCACTGTGTCCAGCCTTTTTTCTCTTTTTACTGAAAGCAAAAGTACACTCAGAGGAGAGTGGGTAGGCTCAAAGAAAAGGAGGAAGTGGTGGTGATGTTTGGTCTTTTGAAGTCTTACTAATTGAGGGGGAAAATATTCAAGGTTAAGGGTTGACTTTTACTCATAATTCACGTAGTAATTCCTGGAATTGGGTTCCTTGATGTTTTAAAATTTATGCTCTTGTCTCAGAACTGTCATGGTGATTTCAAGGGTAAAGAAATATTAAAATCACAATGTAAATGATATTATAATTAGCTAAAGATAGAGTAGCTGTGAAGGTGGTTGAAACCCGTTGAGGCTTTCAACCCCTGGCTTCTCCTTGAGGGTTGTTTAGTTAACACCTATACTCAGCCTTCAAGCCCCTGCACCTGTCTTATCTGTCCTGTCTTTCCTAGTCTCCTTACTCTAACAAAACCATCATTTAAGTATAATTACATGCCTTGACTAATCTTTAAAAAGTAAATTTGATTTATAATGTACCTGACCACTTTGATTTCAGTGGAAAATAATAAAACACAATTTTTGTCCTAATAATAAAAACAGTGGAAAACTACAAATATAGTTAGAAACTTTGATACTTTTAAGGGAACTCTAGGCACTGAGTTCACTCTTTAATTCACTTGCTGCTTTTTCTTGTTGCGAATTATCACTAGCGCAGCTCTTAACAATCACCAAAATAATCCCCCAGTAATTGTGTAAAGAGAATTATAAAGGGGAATTGGAAAATTTGTTTTGATTAATCTGGCAAGATTCCAAAAAGTTGAAAAAAGAGGAGGATAATAGAAACAAGATTTTCTCTAAAATGTGAGAGTGCTTATCTGAATCTCAATAAACCAAAACCAGTTTTTTGTTTAAAAAAAGGAGGAAGAATGGTTTGGCACCTGTGGCACAAGTGGCTAAGGCTCCAGCAACATGCAGACACTTAAGCTGGAAGGTTCGAATCTAGCCTGGGCCCGCCAAACAACAATTACGGTTGTAACCAAAAAATAGCTGGGCGTTGTGGCGGGCACCTGTAGTCCCAGCTACTTGGGAGGCAGAGGCAGGAGAATCGCTTGAGCCCAGGAGTTGGAGGTTGCTGTGAGCTGTGATGTCATAGCACTCTACCCAGGGCGATAGCTTGAGGCTCTGTCTCCAAAAAATAAAGAAAGAAAGAAAGGAGGAGGAAGAGTGGCACCTGTGGCACAAAGGAGTAAGGCCCTGGCCCCATATGCCGGTAGTGGCGGGTTCAAACCCAGCCCTGGCCAAAAACTGCAAAAAAAAAAAAAAAGAGGGAGGGGGGAAAGGTTGAAGGAAATGGGGTCAGGAGGTACAGGTGCGAACAATTTTGAAGAATATTCAAGTACCTTAAGTACAAAAAGGATAAGAAACAGATTTTGAGTTAATCAGGTCACCTGTGATAGAGTACAAAGAATTTATGGAATGCTGTTCTTGTGCATGGGTTGTTCACAAATTGCATAATCACAACTTTGTAAAGGCTAATCTTTTACTATATTCAGTATTACTTACCACCGTGTATAGTGAATGTTCACTAAATCACTAATATTGGACAGCATCATAAAATTAATTTTAACAGAAGCAAATTAAATTTGGAAATGTTAAGAGCACTGTTCATAAACATCTAGTTGGTTGGAATGGGTAATGCAACTGTGAAATGTAATATGAGAAGGTATAAAAGCTCTGTATGTAAGACAGCTGCAGAGAAAATTGCTTCTTAATATTTAGGGTCAGAATTTAGGTAGTGCTTCCAAGTATAAACTGGAATTGGCTGATGAGGGACTGGAAGGGGCATAATTTTAGTCTTAAAATTTTCTCTTCCTCACAAAGCAGTAATTATTTTCTAGGATACTGCCAGGGAAAAACAAATGTGCAAATTAGCTTACTATGAGGAATAAATTATTTGAAGATAGAGAAGCATGATAATTCCTGTATTAAGAAATAGAATTATGGCTTGCTGTCCATAGCTCAGTGGTTAGAGTGCCAGCCACATACACTTAAGCCCAAGAGTTAGAGGTTGCTGTGAGCTGTGATGCCACCGGCACTCTATCAAGGGCGACAGAATGAGACTCTTGTCTCAAAAAAAAAAAAAAATAGAATTATGAGACTTTCTGAAAGTGAAGCAGAATTTGAGAATGTACTTGGATAGTGCTTGGCTTATACTTTATGTTGTTCTCTAAATCACACAAAGATTTAAACCAGATCATCTGGCTTCACACTGTGCTGTTTCACTACCTTGTGCTGTCCATAAATTGTTAGGTTTATATTACTGTCCAGTTTTCCCCTTTGGATTATCATGTCTGTTTTGTTAAAAGTAAGCATGTATAAAATAGTATTTCTTAGGTCATAAGTTATTGTATTTAAACTTGTTTTAAAAGTAATTTTTCCTTAACTGAAGTTGTATGTGCATTAGATGTTAAAAAAGGAAGTACATATGATGTAAGGGAATATAATTTTGTTGATTTGCAGTAACATAAATGGAATGTCTTCTTTTTCTGTTTCCTAGGTTCTCTACTTTTAGAGTCCAAAATAAATCCTAACACTGCATACCAGAAACAACAGGTAAAATAGTGAAGAAGTATTTTATCTTGGATATAATCCTTTTGTTTGATTAAATGGACATTGCCATCTGATTCCTTAACAATGAAAAAATGAGAGCAGGTTACTCTTCTAACTTTAAAATAGGATTTCTGACAGTTTTTATAATGTTTAATGCAGTTTTTTGGTTTTTTTGCGACAGTCTCACTTTGTCACCCTTGGTAGAATGCTGTGGCGTAATAGCTCATAGCAACTTCAAACTCTTGGGCTTAAGCGATTCTTTTGCCTCAGCTTCCTAAGTAGCTGGGACCATAGGTGCCTGCCACAACACCCGGCTTTTTTTTTTTTTTTTTTTTTGAAATAGTTTCTCTTTGTCACTCTCGGTAGAGTGCTGTGACGTCACAGCTCACAGCAACCTGAAACTCTTGGGCTTAAGCGGTTCTCTTGCCTCAGCCTCCCAAGTAGCTAGGACTAAGGTGCCTGCTACAAAGCCCGGCTATTTTTTGGTTGCAGTTGTTGTTGTTGTTGTTTAGCAGTGCTGGGCCAGGCTTGAACCCCAAGCTGGTGCCCTACCTTACTGACCTACAGGCACCAAGCCTTTGGTTTGTTTGTTTGTTTGTTTGTTTTTAATTGCAGTTGTTGTTTAGCAGGCCCAGGTTGGGCTCAAACACACCAGCCCCAGAATATGTGGCTAGAGTCCTAACCACTGAGCTATGGGTACCAAGCCATCACCTGACTTTTTTTTTTTTTTTAATCAAATTGTAGCTGTGTACATTAATGCAGTCAGCCTGACAATTTTTAGAGGTGAGGTCTCTCTCTGGCTCAGGCTGGTCTTGAACCTATCAGCTCAGGGTAATCCATCCACCTTGGCCTCCCAGAGTGCTAGGATTTTTCTTTATTTTGGGCCGGGGCTGGGTTTGAAACCACCACCTCCGGCATAGGGAGCTGGTGCCCTACCCTTTGGAGCCACAGGCACCACCCCCAGAGTGCTAGGATTACAGGCATGAGCCACTGCGCTGGGCTCTAATGCAGTAATTTTGGGGGGGTAGGGATGGGGGCGGACAGCTTCTCACTATGTCTGCCCCTCCATAGAGTGCTGTGGCCTCACAGCTCACAGCAACCTCCAAGTCTTGGGCTTAAGCGATTCTCTTGCCACAGCTTCCCAAGTAGCTGGGACTACAGGTGTCCACGACACTGCCTAGCTATTTTTTTGTTGTAGTTGTCATTGTTGTTTGGCAGGCCCAGGCCAGGTTCAAACCCTCCAGCCCCAGTGTATATGGCTGGCACCCTAACCGCTAAGCTACAGGCATGGAGCCAGTAATTTTCATTTTCTAAAAAAAGATTGCCTCAAGTTAGCCTGAATTTGTGTTCCAGGTATTCTAGCAACTGAGCCCTAAAGTTTCCTTATAAACTACAGAAAAAAAGCAACCACTGATGTGATAATTAGTACTGATTCACATTATCATCAAATGGTATTTATTCAGTACATACAAGGTATATTGAGATTTTTGCACAGCCAATGAAATCGATACCAGTTCTCTTATTACCTTGAAAATGCAGATACAAGATATTAACAATGTTTTCATAAATAAAGTACTTTGCTTCATCAATTTCTGTTAAAATACTGCTAGGAAGAAATTAGGGTTTTTTTATTTTGCCCATTAGATGATGCCGAAAGATTGTGATTTGACAGCACACAGGTGGTAGATAGGCAAGCTGGTATTAATTTTTTTTGTTTTTGAGACAGAGCCTCAAGCTATCCCCTTGGGTAGAGTGCCGTAGCATCACAGCTCACAGCAACCTCCAACTTCTGGGCTCAAGGGAGTCTCCTGCCTCAGCCTCCCAAGTAGCTGGGACTACAGGTGCCTGCCACAACACCAGGCTATTTTTTGGTTGCAGCCATCATTGTTGTTTGGCAGGCCCGGGCTGGATTCAAACCCGCCACCTTAGGTGCATGTGGCTGGCGCCTCAGCCACTTGAGCCACAGGCACCAAGCTAGTATTAATTGTTAAATTTAATTAGTGGTGATTCGTACAATACAAAATACTTTGAACTGGTATAGTGGCTCACACCTGTAATCCTCGCACTTTGGGAAGCCAAAGCTGGAGGATCACTTGAGGCCAGGTGTTAGGGGCTACCCTAGGCTACATAGTGTGATCTCGTGTCTACAAAATAAATTTTTAAAAATAGCCAGGTATAGGTCAGCGGCTGTGGTTCAGTGGGTAGGGCACTGGCCCATACACTGAGGGTGGCAGGTTCGAACCTTGCCCTAGCCAAACTGCAACAAAAAACAGTGGGTCATTGTGGCAGGCTCCTGTAGTCCCAGCTAAGCTACTCAGGAGGCTGAGGCAAGAGAATTGTCTAAGCCCAGGAGTTGGAGGTTGCTATGAGCTGTGATGCAACGGTACTTTACTAAGAGTGATAGACTCTGTCTCTAAAAAGAAAAAAACAGCCGGTTACGGTGGTGCCTGTGGCTCAAGGAGTAGGGCTCTGGCCCCATATACCAGCGGTGGTGGGTTCAAACCCGGCCCTGGCCAAAAACTGCAAAAAAAAAAAAAAAAAAAAATAGCCCCCTATAGTGCACGTGCTTTTGGGGGGTTGAAGGCAGGAAGAATGCTTTGAGCCCATGAGTTCAAGACTGAAGTGAGCCATAATGTCACCACTGCCCTGCAGCCTAGGGTGACAGTGAGACCTTATCTTAAAATCTTTTTTTCCTTGATAGTTTAATCATCTGTTAAGCACTTTAATGCATTTCGTGTTCTTAAGAAAACTTTCAGGTTTGTCTAAATAGCTGGAGACTAGAATATTTGGCCTTAATCTTCCATACTTAACTACATTACATTCATATTTTGATGTTTTTGTCAGCTGAGGAGTGAAAACACATCCTGAGAAAAAAGAAAGGTAGAGCCTATTTTGAGTGCAAATGAATGAATTCCTATGTCTCCACCTGTAGGTTGCTGGATGATAAACAAGATGATTTGGTGAAAATTAGGCTCTTCATGCCTAGCATGGTAGATCACACCTGTAATCCTAGCACTCAGGGAGGCCAAGGCAGATGGATTTCCTGAGCTCACAGGTTCCAGACCAGCCTGAGCAAGAGTGAGACCCCCATCTCAAAAAGTAGCTGGGCGGGCTAGGCACCAGCCACATTCACCACTACTGGCAGATTCGAACCCAGCCCAGGCCTGTTAAATAACAATGACAACAATAACAACAACAACAACAACAAAATAGCCAGGTGTTATGGTGGGTGCCTGTAGTCCCAGGTGTTCGGGAAGCTGAGGCAAGAGAATCACTTAAGCCCAAGAAATGAGGTTGCTGTGAGCTGTGATGCTACAGCACTCTACTGAGAGTGACATAATGAAACTATCTCAAAAAAAAAAATGTCTGGGCATTGTGGCGGGCGCCTGTAGTCCCAGCTGCTTGGGAGGCTGAGGCAAGAAAATCCCTTGAGCCCTGGAGTTTAAGGTTGCTGTGAGCTATAATGCCATGGCATTCTACCCAGGGCAACAAAGTGAGACTCTGTCTCAAAGAAAAAGAAAAGAAAAAAAAAATTAGATCCTTAAAGGGAGACGAGCAATTGCTAAGATTTTTCAAACTTGCTAAATTTGTCAAATGAGTAATTAAAATTATATATCTGGTATCATCCTGATTTAAGCATCAGCACCCAAATGTTCTGGATATACATTGTAACTTAGCAATTGCTTATAATTGTGTTAAATTTATTATTAATGTAAGATAGGCCTTAAATTTATTCTCATGGTCCTTATTTCGCTGATACTTGTAAATATCAGAATTTTAGGAGCCATTTAATTTGGGCAAATTGTCCCCCTTTCTCCTGAGATGATTACTTGCCTTTAACCTTAGTCCTATCACCAACAAATGGTACTTAGATTATCATTAATTTTCATAACTGTATGTATCATTCCCATTGTAAAAGTGATGAAACTGAGGCCTCACTCTGTTGCACTAGAGTGCCATGCCATCGTCATAGCTCATAGTAGCAACCTCAAACTCTCGGGAGCAATCCTCTTGCCTCAGCCCCCCCAGGGAGCTGGGACTACAGGCTCTCTCTATAGCTCCTGGCTAGTTTTTTCTGTTTTTTAGCAAAGATGAGTTCTCACTCTTGCTCAGACTGGTCTTGAACTCCTGAGCTCAGAGGATCCTCCTATCTTGGCCCTCCAGAGTGCTGGGATTATAGGCATGAGCCACTGTGCCTGGCCTAAATTTTTAATTTTAATTTCTTTTAAGAGGAAGAGTCTTGCAATGTTGCCCTGGCTAGAGTGCAGTGGCTGTTTACAGGCACAATCACAGCACACTATAGCCTCCAACTCTTGGCCTCAACCCATCCTCCTGCCTCAGCCTCCTGAGTAGCTAACAGTATAGGTCTACAAAATGGTGCCAAGCTTAGACAAATTTTTAAATGTGGGATCCATTTGTGCACAGTAAGAATTTCCTAGCTAGTGAAAAGGATTAGAAACTACTACAGGCTCGGCGCCTATAGCTCAACCAGCTAAGGCGCCAGCCACGTACACCTAAGGTGGCGGGTTCTAATCCCCAGCCCGGACCCGCCAAACAACAATGACGGCTGCAACCAAAAAATAGCCAGGCGTTGTGGCGGGCGCCTGTGGTCCCAGCTACTTGGGAGGCGGAGGCAGGAGACTCGCTTGAGCCCAGGAGTTGGAGGTTGCTGTGAGCTGTAATGCCACGGCACTCTACCCAGGGGGACAGCTTGAGGCTCTGTCTCAAAAAAAAAAAAAAGAAAGAAAGAAAGAAACTACTACAGTAGGCTAGGCTCCTGTTGCTCAGTGGTTAAAGTACAGGCTCTATGCACCAGAGATGGTGGGTTCGAACTCAACCCAGGCCTGCTTAACAAAAAAAAAAAAATAATAATAAATAAATGAAAAAAAATACTACAATAGAATGATAGATCCTTTAAGGTACCTTAAAGATAATCTAATCATGTTTCATATTCTTTTAAAATTTATTTATTAGAGACGGAGTCTCACTTTGTCATCCTTAGTAGAGTGCTGTAGCATCATAGCTCATAGCAACCTCCAACTCTTGGGCTTAGGCAAAATTCTCTTGCCTCAGCCTCCCGAGTAGCTGGGACTACTACAGGTGCCCACCACAACGCTCAGCTATTTTTTTGTTGCAGTTTGGCTGGGGCTGGGTTCAAACCCGCCACCATCGGCATATGGGGCTGGTGCCCTACTCACTGAGCCATAGGCATCGCCCATATATATATTTTTTAAATACAAGTACCTTTATCATCCTAGTGGATACCCAGCCAGGCTTTGCATGGCTCCTTCTTGTTACTTATTAGTCAAATTGAATTATTTTTCTTTATATTGTGATGAGAAATCCATCTCAGTTCTATTTTCCTAATGTCTTCCCTTTGGTCCAGCTTGAAAAAAATACTGATTTTGAAGATAGCTGTTCAAAACTTTCCCTAATACCATTCAACATTTGTCGTATGAAGTGATCCATAGACCCTTGTCAGTAAGCAGGCCCTTTTGGTTGATTGCTATGAAACAGTGTATATGTTTATAGGCAGAAAGTTTAAAAGTATATCTCGCAGCCTATAAATCAGTGGTTCTCACCCTTCCTAAGGCCACGACCCTTTAATACTTCGTCATGTTGTGGTGACCCCCAACCATAAAATTATTTTTGTTGCTACTTCATAACTATAATTTTGCTACTGTTAATGAATCGTAATATAAACATCTGCTATGCAGGATGATCTTATGTGACCCCTGTGAAAGGGTTGTTCAACCCCAAAGGGGTTACAACCCATAGGTGAACTACTGCTATAAATATTTTTATTATACCATGCATCTGGGAATAAGGTAGTCTTATTAAATTACATCTTAATTAAAACTATTGAACTGTTTATTAAACCTATTATTATTTGAAAAAGAAAGTTCTGCCTGACTAGAAATGAAAGGTGGGTGTTAGGATTTGCTGCTTCTTCAACTGTAGTATGTTAGTGAAAGTTAAAAACAAAAACCTCGGTTCAGACAAGTTTATGCAATATGCTACAAATTTATCCAATAATTTCAAGAACTCCATGGATCTCAGAAGCCCTAGGAAAAGAACACATGCTGACAATAGAAGGAAGAGAGAAAGAGTGAAATTAATCCTATCCATCAAACATGCCCTAGTTACTAATAGACTTCCTCTTTCACTAATATATTAAACTATGAAAGCATAAATGTTTCATTTGTTACTTTTAGTAGGTAAGAATTGTGTACTCACTTTGTAATGTTTTATCTATATTGCTTAAACTTTAAGGAAAACATTGTTTTCATTTTGTAGATTGGGTGAAGTATAGTATAAAAAAAGGCATTGATTTAAGGAGGGGGGCACTGGTAATATCAGTACGTAATTCAAAAAAATAAAAATGAGTGCTGTTCTCAGTTCCTGTTGCTTCTTTTGATTTATACTTTGAAGTAATTTGTGATAATGTACATTAATCATTCAGACTCCTTTTTTATCTCCAAAGGATACTCTGATTGTGTGGTCTGAAGCAGAAAATTATGACTTGGCCCTTAGCTTTCAAGAAAAAGCTGGATGTGATGAAATTTGGGAGAAAATATGTCAGGTAATATTTAAATATAGAAAATCAACATGTTGCCTTTAAGTATTGTGGATTTTACTGTGATTTTTCAGCTAATGTTCAATAATTTTAAAAAATTTTCATATAGATTTTAAAAGATATGTAAAAAGCTGTGTCTGTTAAAATTTTGATTTAAAGGAAGTTATAATTTATTGTCACCCTACTATCCAGCCCAGACCTTTACTGAACACTTAATGTTCTATATCCAACATTCTCTTTCTTTTTTAATGTTCTCCTTTGTTCCTTCATTTTATTTACTTTTTCATTTTTTTCCTCATGCTACCTTTTCTAAGAACAACTGTCTTCTTGAGAATTCCTCTTTGCTAGCATTTCAAACTTAATAGTTTAAAACACAGTATAATCATCTCACCTAGACGTATTCATTCTCTAATTTTGTGTTCTAGATGTATTCGTTCTCTAATCTCCCTCATCTCCAAGAATGTTGAATCATATTTATCCTTTCCTCATCTCTTATATCCATTCATTCCCTCAATAATAAAACTTAGATCCATTCACTTATCTTCATTTTTCACCATTATTATAGTTTTCTAAGTCACCATTAGTGCCTGCCTGGTTTATTGGTTTCTTATCTACTGTTCTTCCCAAGTTAATAATACTCTTTGTTCAAAAGGATCTTCCTGTGGCTCTTGAAATGAAACCTACCCTGACACTAGTCGTGAGCAATAGGCTCTTGACTATCCCATCTCACTTATAAACTTGAATGTTTTTTATATAGTCTGAAGCTTCTTTACTGACTCTAGTACCTTATTCTAGTGACATACTGTGCACAGTCTTTTCTAAATGTGCTTTTTTTTTCCCCATATGAAACAGAGTCTCACTTTGTCACTCTCAATAGAGTGCAGTAGCATCGCAGCTCACAGCATTCTCAAACTCCTGGGCTTAAGTGATCCTCTTGCCTCAACCTCCTAAGTAGTTGGAACTACAGGTGCCTGCCACAATGCCCAGCTATTTTTGTGGAGATGAGGTCTTACTCTGGCTCAGTCTTAAACCTGTGAGCCCAGCCAGTCTACCTGCCTCAGTCTCCCAGAGTGCTAGGATTATAGGCATGAGCCACCATGCCCAGTCTAAATGTGCGTTTTTGTTTTTGTTTTTTTGTTTGTTTTTTTTTTTTTTGAGACAGAGCCTCAAGCTGAGCCCCTGGGTAGAGTGCCATGGCTTCACTGCTCACAGCAACCTCCAACTCCTGGGCTCAAGCAAGTCTCCCACCTCAGCCTCCCAAGTAGCTGGGACCACAGGCTCCCGTCACAACGCCCAGCTATTTTTGGTTGCAGCCATTATTGTTGTTTGGCGGGCCCGGGCTGGATTCAAACCTGCCACCTTAAGTGTATGTGGCTGGCGCCTTAGCCACTTGAGCCACAGACTCCGGGCTTTTTTTTTTTTTTTGAGACAGAGTCTCATTTTGTCACCCTTGGTAGAGTGCTGTGGTGTCATAGCTCACAGCAACCTCCAACTCCTGGGCTTAAGCGATTCTCTTGCTTCAAGCTCCCCAGTAGCTGAGACTACAGGTGCCCACCACAAGACCCAGCTATTTTTTGTTGCAATTGCCACTGCTGTTTTTTAGCTGGTTAGGGCTGGGTTTGAACCTGCCACCCTTGGTATACAGGGCTGACACCCTAACCACTGAGCCACAAAGGCTGCCCTAAATGTGCATTTTTTATGTGCTCCAGTGGCTAAAGCCATTGGCTTTTGTTATATACTCAATTTAGGCCAGTTTTTCTAGGGAAGTTTCTTGCATGTCCGTATTTATTTTAACTGAAGAATAATCTTCAAATTTCTTTCTTTTTTTTTTGGAGGCAGTCTTATTATGTCACCCTCAGTAGAGTGCAATGGCGTCATGGCTCACCGCAACCTCAAACTCTTGGACTTAAGTGATCCTCTTGCCTTAGCCTCCCAAGTAGCTGGGACTACAGGTGCCTGCCACAACACCCGGCTATCTTTTGGTTATAGTTGTCATTGTTGTTTGGCAGGCCCAGGCCAGATTTGAACCCACCAGCTCTGGTGTATGTGGCTGGCACCCTAGCCACAGGCATCCAGCCCAGAATTCTTAGTTTATTGGTTCTTAAACCAACAGCATGAGCATGACCTGTGAACTGACAAATAAGCACATTCTGAGACACACACACCCCAACCCTGTACTCCAGATTTATTGGATCAGAAATTCTTTTTTTTTTCCTTCTGAGATAGAGTTTTACTTTCGTCGCACTTGGTAGAGTACTGTGGCATCACAGCTCACAGCAACCTCAAACTCTTGGGCTTATGTGATTGATTCTCTTGTCTCAGCCTCCCAAGTGGCTGGGACTACAGGTGCCCGCCATAGCACCCAGCTATTTATTGGTTGTAGTTGTCATTGTTGTTTAGCAGGTGTGGGCTGGGTTCAAACCCGCCAGCTCTGGTGTACGTGCTGACGCCCTAGCCACTGAGTTACAGGTACCGAGCCAGGATCAGAAAATCTTAGTAGGGTCTAGTAATTATGTTTTCATGAGCTTTCTAGGTCAAACTTTCTGTGCAAAGGTCAAGATAGTAAGCATTTAAAGATTTGTGGACTATACAGTCTCAGAGCTGTGCACCTCTGCTGTTGTGGTTTGAAGGTAGCTATACATAATACATACATGAATGGGTGTGACTGTCTTCTAGTAAAACTTACTAACAAAGACAGGTGAGGGGACAAATTTGGCTTTGGTTTGTCAGCCTCTGCTTTTGATTATGTATGATAAAGTTTGAGAACTGCAGCGTTTTTTTTGAGACAGTGTCAGTTTGTCGCCCTTTATAGAGTGCGGTGACATCATAGCTCACAGCAACCTCAAACTCTTAGGCTCAAGTGATTCTCTTGCCTCAGCCGCCCAAGTGGGTGAGACTACAGGCCCCCAACACAATGCCAGCTATGTTTAGAGACAAGGTGTCGCTCTGGCTCATGCTGATCTCAAACTCCAGAGCTCAGGCAATCCACTGTCCTTGGCCTCCTAGAGTGTTGGGATTACAGGTGCAAGCCACTCTTGTGTGGCCTAGCTGAAACCTTAAGAGAAGCTACAGTGTCCTTGATGCAGCAGTTTTTCCTTAACGTATAGAATTTATTTCTGCCTATATTCTACTAAACTGTTTTTAATAAATTAACCTGTTAACCTGCCTGTTAAGCTATCCCTTTTCTTCTCTTAAAACATGAAAGACTTAATGTTTATTTCTCAGTGCTCTTTCTTTTTACTTTTTCTTTGCTTTCTGTCCTATGATTTTGGGGGAGAAAAGGGGATATGTTTTTCTAGATTTTGTCATGTAGAGTTCTCCCACAGAGACAAAACATTAATATATTCAGGCATTGCTAAAAGTATCTGTTATTCAAACAAATCTTGTTCTCCTTCATCTTTCTGATACAGTCTTCTCAGAACAATATTTAACCCTAACCTAGACTCAGTCTGTGTCATACCTGTCTCTCCTTTAATATTTATTGTTTGATCTTTATCTTTCCTTGGTCTTTAATGCCATAAAATTTTCAGTCATTTTCACCTGAGGTATGGGTATTTGTATGCTTTTTTATACCTAGGAATCGCTGGTGATTTTATGTTGTTCTTTCCTGGTATTCCCCTTCAACTTTTATATAGTTTATATTTGAGGTGTCATTTCTCAGTTACTCTTTTTATGGTTCTGTGTTTCTCAGTTCTATTCCAGGGAAGTTATTATATTTTGCTCTCTGAGATCTTATACATATGTCTCTCTTGAATCCTATTGTGATCTAACAGCTAAAGGTCTCCCTTATTTTTCTAGTACCCTCCTTGATAACATTGTGTTTGAATTCAAGAAGATATCATTCTTGTTACAATAAAGGCTCTCAGGGCTTAGTGTCCATACACAGTGGTTATAGCACTGGCCACATGCACCAAGGGTGGTGGGTTTGAACCTAGCCCAGGCCAGCTAAACAATAACTGCAACAACAACGGGCGTTGTGGTGGGCGCCTGCTGTCCCAGCTACTTGGGAGGCTGAGGCAAGAGAATCGCTTAACCCCATGAGTTTGAGGTTGCTGTGATGCCAGGGCACTCTACTGAGGGTGACATAGTGAGACTCTATCTCAAAAAAAGGTGGGGCGAGGGGCTCTCAGACCATTCTTTTGATTTACAAATCAAAATCTACCACTTGAGGGGAGGGTAAGGTCATAGCTTAGATATAAGACCTTAAAACTATAAGAAAGACTTGTGTTATTAACACATCTAGAACCAACTTGATACCATGCCAGATACAAACTGTGAATGGGCCGTGCCTCCTGTTAATGGTGCTGCCCACTGAGTTGAAGTCAAGACTGTATCAGCTTGCAGCATATTTCAAGACAAATATTTCAGGCCATCTTTCCTTTTAGTATCCATCAACAGTATCTATAAAGTACTCTTGTCTTTAGCAATTTAAGTTTTTTGTTTTGTTTTGGCTTTTTTGAGACAGAATAGCACTTGTCACCCTCCATAGAGTGCTCTGGTGTCACAGCTACAGCAACCTCAAACTCTTTGTTTGGCTCAAGCGATTCTCTTGTCTCAGCCTCTCAAGTAACTGGGACCACGGGCGCCTGTGCCTGCCGCAGCACTTGGCTATTTTTAGAGACAAGGTCTCGCTCTTGCTTAGGCTGGTGTGGAACTTGTGAGCTCAGACAATCCACTCACCTTGGCCTCCCAGAGTGCTAGGATTATAGGCATGAGCCACAGTTAGCAGTTTTAGTTTCTTGGCCATTTGTATACGGCCTAATTTTTCTATCCCTTTACCAGTCTGTTTGGCCTGTAGGACTGCTTTAGTAGTCACTGTCCCAAATTCTAGGGCCAAGGCACTAAAAGTTGTTTTATTTCAAAATCTGTCTTGATGTTTTTTTAAAAATGTATTTACTTTAAAATATATTTAATAAAAAGTTACTTTTTTATAATTAGAGCCAGTGACATAGAGTTGGGATTAATGACAGATTTTAGGACTTATGGGAGATCATGAAGACTAGAGTGTAGAAAGGAAAGATTTTCTATGCTTTGTTCTCTTAACTTTGAGAAGATATTCCTGGGAAGATAGCCCTACCACATACAGGTTGCACTGTATATATGGCTTCATTTTTATATAGGTGCACTTGTATTCTTAGTTTTTCTAAATCATGTTTTTGGCCTGCCAGGGCTTTGGCCCAAAGCTAGTGTGTTCATGCTCTTGGGCCATTGGTCTCTAGAATCAGTTGGTGTTTACCTTTATTGTTGTTTACAATAATATATCTTTTCTATGACCACAGCATCAGGATATTTAATATTTATTTGAACTTAAAGTTAATATTGAGGAGCTTGATGGTGCCTATCCTGTAGCACAGTCCTAAGCATGTTTCTGAGGCTTGCCCCACCCTGAACTATATTGGTAAAGACAGTCAAGGAGAGATGTGAATGGATGTTTTAGCATTAGGCTTTTTTGTTACAGGTCTGCAAGGGAGTGTCAGTTTAGCCTGTCCTAGAAAATTGCTTTTGCCAGAAAACCTTGTATTATGAGGAAGCTTATTCCATCTTTGAACTACCTCAACATTGGCAGCATATGTTATTTGGAGAAATGTAACTTTAAAAAGTAGGCAGTTTTGGCTCGGCGCCTGTGGCTCAAGTGGCTAAGGCACCAGCCACATACACCTGAGCTGGCGGGTTCGAATCCAGCCCGGGCCCACCAAACAACAATGATGGCTGCAACAAAAAGATAACTGGGCGTTGTAGTGGGCACCTGTAGGCCCAGCTACTTGGGAGGCAGAGGCAGGAGAATCGCTTGAATCCAGGAGTTGGAGGCTGCTGTGAGCTATGATGCCATGGCACTCTACCTAAGGGGACAGCTTAAGGCTCCATATAAAAAAAAAAAAACCAGTAGGCAGTTTTTGTCAAGTTTGAAAAAAAATTCTTCAAGTTGGAAATTATTGTAGTTTTCTCATAACATCTATTCTTGTATTCATCCTAGACTATCAGGTAGGCTTGCTGGTTTACCTTTTTCAGCTATTATAAATTCTTTTCCATAGGTTCAAGGGAAAGACCCTTCAGTGGACATCACTCAGGACCTTGTGGATGAATCTGAAGAGGAACGTTTTGATGATATGTCATCGCCAGGTTTAGAATTGCCATCTTGTGAATTAAGTCGTCTTGAGGAAATTGCAGAACTTGTGGCATCATCTTTACCATCCCCCCTTCGTCGCGAAAAACTTGCACTGGCACTGGAAAATGAGGGTTATATTAAAAAGCTCTTAGAGCTTTTTCACGTGTGTGAGGATTTGGAAAATATCGAAGGACTGCACCACTTGTATGAAATTATCAAAGGCATCTTCCTCTTGAATCGAACTGCTCTCTTCGAAGTTATGTTCTCTGAGGAATGTATAATGGACGTCATTGGGTGTTTAGAATATGATCCTGCTTTATCCCAGCCACGAAAACACAGGGAATTTCTAACAAAAACAGCCAAATTTAAAGAAGTAATTCCCATATCAGATCCTGAGCTGAAACAAAAAATTCATCAGACATACAGAGTTCAGTATATACAAGATATGGTTCTGCCTACCCCTTCGGTTTTTGAAGAAAACATGTTATCAACACTTCACTCCTTTATCTTTTTTAATAAGGTAGAAATTGTTGGTATGTTACAGGTGAGTTAGATTGTTTCTTTTTTTCTACTTCAAAAGATACCCTACTTGGCTCAGCGCCCATAGCTCAACCGGCTAAGGCGCCAGCCACGTACACCTAAGGTGGCGGGTTCGAATCTCCAGCCCGGACCCGCCAAACAACAATGACGGCTGCAACCAAAAAATAGCCGGGCGTTGTGGCGGGCACCTGTGGTCCCAGCTACTTGGGAGGCGGAGGCAGGAGACTCGCTTGAGCCCAGGAGTTGGAGGTTGCTGTGAGCTGTAATGCCACGGCACTCTACCCAGGGGGATAGCTTGAGGCTCTGTCTCAAAAAAAAAAAAAAAAAAAAAAGATACCCTACTTGATTGAGATCATTTAAAGAACTAATTGCCATTAGCAAAAATAATTTTCTTCGTAAACACCTAAATTGAGTTAATTTTGTTAAAGTCTAAAATTATTTTGGTGACACAGTAAGAGATAAAGGTTGGTGGGCAAGTTAAATATGATAACGAAATTTAGCTTGAAGAAATTATAAGGGAATGATTTTAATGAAATGATTAAATGTTGAATTATAGGGTTATTAATCTATGAATTATCCATACAGTAGAATAAATTGGAAGGCAGAGGAGAAAAAAGAGAAGCCAAGAAAAATGTCTGTATTAAAAAGGTTCTGGGGCTCGGTGCCTGTGGCTCAAGTGGCTAAGGTGCCAGCCACATACACCTAAGGTGGCGGGTTCGAATCCAGCCCAGGCCCACCAAAAACAAGAACAATGAGGGCTGCAACCAACAAAAAAAAAAAAAAGGTTCTGGTACTAACTGCTATTAAATATAGAATACAAATTCTATAGAATTGATAAAAATCCTTGGTTAGTGGTATAGTAAAAGCTCATTTTTAGGGTCAAGAGAATATAGCAGAGGAGGCAAATTCTAACTGCATGTATCTGTACCAAAAGGCATGTTTTTCGTAATGGGGGGTGGGGTGGGGTGGGCTAAAGTGAGCTTGAGTTTCTGCTCCACTTGTCATTGAATAGCTCTCAATAACTATATGACTTGGGCAGTCTTCCTAATCTCTAAAAGCTTCAGTGTCTCCAACTGAGAGATGGTGATATTATTGCCTACCATATAAAGTTATCTGAAGATTAAGTAGAATCATAACATGTAAAGTGTTTAACGCAGTGTAGGACTTATGAGCAGTTTTTAAGTATCTATTGATAATTGTTTATTAAATTTTTATAGTATGCTTAGTCTCTTGGGTCTGTATTTTAGGATGCTTACATCACAGTCAACTAGGGTGCAATATCCTGGGTTCTGCACAAAATGCAAAATCAGTCTCTGAGAGCTGGCTGATAATTTGATTTGTAACACCTCTCAAGTTAAAACCTCTGACTATCTTCCCACCATGTGTGAACCAGTCTCTTCTAACTAAAATACATGTTTACAAAAGATTTGTTGTTTGCATACTCCTCATGATTGATTTCTTTGATGCTCATAATATTATAAGAGTAACAGATAACTGTGATATGACTTGGAAGATACTATAAGACTCTGCCTCAGGTATACAAGTAAAATAATTATTTGAAACCTGTATTTGTTAAATAGAGAAAGACCAATAAATGTTAGTAAGTACTGCTAGTAGCACATGTTACAAATCAGTGTATTTCATCTTCATATCTGTTCCTTTGTAGAAAATTTCTGGTTTTTTCAGTGTCCTTTTCTTCTGTTACCTTTTAATTTAAGTAGAAAAATCAATTTTACTATAACTACTTTCTTAGAGGTAATAAGAATTCCAGAACATACTAATTTGACACATTTTCTTTTTTTCTTTTTTCTTTTTTTTTTGAGACGGAACCTCAAGCTATCCCCCTGGGTAGAGTGCCGTGGCATCACAGCTCACAGAAACCTCCAACTCCTGGGCTCAAGCGAGTCTCCTGCCTCAGCCTCCCAAGTAGCTGGGACTACAGGCACCCGCCACAACGCCCGGCCATTTTTGGGTTGCAGCCATCATTGTTCTTTGTCGGGCCTGGGCTAGATTCGAACCTGCCACCTTAGGTGTATGTGGCTGGCGCCTTAGCCACTTGAGCCACAGGCGCCGAGCCGACACATTTTCCATTTAAGACAGATATGTAAATAAGATAGGCAATATAGTCTGGAAAGTACAATAATAATGCTCTATATAGTACACTGTGACTGATTATTGAGGAAGGAGGAAGCTTCTGGTACCAATTTCTATTTGTTCTTTGACAAGGAACTAGTTTTTGCTAGCTAGTAGAACCTTTGTTCTGGTCCAGTTTTGATTCCTGGTTTCTTTGGATAGTCCAGAGTTCTGATCCTTTTCTATAGCTCCATATAGTTCTGTTTTTGATACATAAAGACTGTTTTCTTAATCTTCATACATGTAAAATGCCAACTTCACTCATTAAGTGTGAATAATTTCAAGTTGTTAAATGTTTGCTTCCCCCACAATATGCTCTGTAAAATACTGGCTGCCAGTACTGTAGTTTTGTCTTTTTCTCTTGATGACGGGCACTTCTAAAGTACTGCTGTGAAGGCAAGAGTGTTTTACAAATGTTTCGTCAAGAAGTGACTGAGAGGTGGCACCTGAGGCTCAGTGAGTAGGGCACCAGCCCCATATACCAAGGGTGGCGGGTTCAAACCTGGCCCTAGCCAAACTGCAACAAAAAGCCACGTCTTATGGTGGGCGCCTATAGTCCTAGCTACTTGGGAGGCTGAGGCAAGAGAATTACCTAAGCCCAAGAACTGGAATGTCTCTTAAAAAAAAACAAAGAAATGACTGAGATACAATTTAAATCAGGTTCCTACCCACTTTGTGTAGACAGAGAAATACACACTCACACAATATCACAACATCCCTTCATCATTAACTGCTTCCTCTATAATACTATTAAATATTCCTACTCTCTACTTCTGTATCCCCATCTACAGCAGTTTAGAGAATTTCTTTTTTAACCATTTAATTTCTAGTTGGTGGAATATATTGTATCTGGGATGTATCATGAAATTGGATGCCATTTGGTAAGAAACATGGTCAAAATCATATGTAATGTGAGGTATGACCTGTTTGCACATTTTAGAAAAAATCAAAGTTAGAAATAATCACACAAATTTAGTATCACACAGAAAGTATTTCTTGTGCACACACAGTCATGTATAAGAGGGTGTGTGTATGTACTTAACGCTTGTCTAGGGCTGGAGTTGTGTTACATCTATTTCTGGTTGAGGTAGTATGAAATTATTGTAAAGCAATCTTGATGAAGAATTAGTGATGAGAGAAATTGAATAGGCCCAGGAAGGTTCTACCACCTGCAGGTGAATGGGCTTGAATAAATTTTTTAATCTGAGCCTTAATTATGAAATAAGGATGTAAGAGAGTAACATCTGAGGTTGTTTTTTGCTTTTTTTGTTTGTTTGTTTGTTTGAGACAGACTCTCACTTTTGTCACCCTCGGTAGAGTGCTGCAGTGTCATAGCTCACAGCAACCTCAAACTCTTGGGCTCAAGCGATTCTCTTGCCTCAGCCTCCCACGTAGCTGGGACTACAGGTGTCTGCCACAACACCTAGCTATTTTTAGGTCTCACTCTGGCTCAGGCTGGTCTCGAACCTGTGAGCTTCAGCAGTCCACTTGACTCGGGCTCCCAGAATGCTAGGATTACAGATGTGAGCCATCTCACCCTGCCTGAGGTTTTTTCAGTTGCTGTACTTCTCTGAGTTACTTATCAAGTATACTATGAGGGTATCCTTTGAATCCTTTTTAAAATAATATATAATAAATTATTGTCCATGTAGATATGGATATTTTCAAATAAAAGATTTTAAAAATTATTTATTTCAGTAGATTTAGGGGTACAAGTTGAATTCTGTTGTATGTATATAGTATAGGGTGGTGAAGTGGGCTTTGGTGTACCCCTCAATTGAATAGTGTACATTGTATCCCATAGGTAATTTTTCATCCCTCACCCCTCCTGCCCGGTTGAGTCTCTAATGTCCTTTATACCACTCTGCATGCCCTTGTGTAACCAGAATTTAGCTCTCACTTAAAAGTGAGAAAATGCAGCATTTTTCTGTGCCTGAGTTACATCAGTTAGGATAATGGCCTCTAGTTCCATCCAGTTTCTGCAAGACATTATTTCATTCTCCCTTACTGTTGAGTAGTAATCCATGATACATATATATATCATAATTTTTTTAATCCACACATCAATTTGATGGGTACTTTGATTGATTCCGTATCTTTGCAATTCTGAATTATGCCGTAATAAACATATGAGTAGGTATAGGTATCTTTTTGATACAATGATTTATTTTCCTCTGGGTATACACCCAGCAGTGGTATTGCAGGATTGAATGGTAAATCTCTTTTTAGTTCTTTGAGAAGTCTTCCATACTGAGCTCCATAGAGATTGTATTAATTTATATTCCCACCAGCAGTATAAGTATTTCCTTTTTTTTTTTTTTTTTTTTTAGAGACAGAG